GGGAAGGAAGGAAGGAAGGAAGGAAGGAAGGAAGGAAGGAAGGAAGGAAGGAAGGAAGGAAGGAAGGAAGGAAGGAAGGAAGGAAGGAGCCTCCCTTCCTGAGGCCACCTCCTGGTTTGCAGGCCAGTTTCTCAAAGGGCCACAAGACCTAAGCACTGATGCAACCCATGATCTGCCCAAGTTCACAGAATCAGCACTGCTGGCAGAGGGCCATCGAGCCTCTGCTTAAAAGCCTCCAAAGAAGGAGAGCCCACCACCGCCTCCCGAGTAGGCCTGTTCCACCGAGGAACTGCTCTAACTCAGGAAGTTCCTCCTAATGTTTAGCCAAAAACTCTTTTGATTTAATTTCAACCAATTGGGGCAACAGAAAACAACTCCGCACCATCCTCTATATGTCAGCTCTTCAAGTACTTGAAGATGGTTCTTCACCTCTCAGTCGTCTCCTCCCCAGGCTAAACAGACCCAACTCCTTCAACCTTTCCGTCTCCCACTTGGTCTCCAGACCCCTCACCATCTTTGTTGCTCTCCTCTGGACATGTTCCAGCTTGTCTATATCCTTAAATTCTGGGGCCCAAAACTGAACACAACACTCTAGGCGAGGTCTAACCAGGCAGAGTAAAGCGACACCATCACATCTCGTGATCTGGACACTATACTTCTGTTGATACAGCCCAAAATCACATCTGCCTTTTCAGCTATCGCGTCTCACTGCTGACTCATGTTCAGTGTATGGTCTACTAAGACCCCTAGATCCTTTTCACACACACTACTGCCAAGACAAGTCTCCCCCATTCTACAATTATGCATTTGATTTTTCCTACCTAAATGCAGAATTTTACATTTATCCCCACTGAAATTCATTTTATTTGTACTAGCCCAGTTATCCAGACTTATTTGCACAAATATATTTTGTGGCTTTGAAAGGTCTTGCAGATTTAAATTCTGCTTCTCTGTACAGCACAGCCCCTTTAACTACGGGAAAATCCCTGGTGGGCTGCTGCCCTGCAGGCCATTAACAGCCAGAAGCAAGATGAGCTGAGCAGCCCCTGTGAAAGCAACGGATCGGCCAGGGGTGGTGCTGGTGCTACAGACCAGCATCTCAGGGGCCCCTGGACTCTGTGGCGGCAGCAATGGGCCTTGCTTCACTTTGTGCTTCATCCCACAAAATGGCAGCAGTGCCACTGGCCCACTGGGGCTTGGCCACCGATGGTCATCTAGGGCAGTGGCCCACTGGGAGATTTCCCTGTGAGTTAAATGGCCAACCTAGCAGTTCGAAAGCAAGAAATTGCAAGTAGATAAATAGGTACTGCTTTGGTGGGAAGGTCACAGTGTTCCGTGCGCCTTGGTGTTTAGTCATGCTGGCCACATGGCCACGGAAACGTCTTCGGACAGCGCTGGCTCTTCGGCTTTGAAACGGAGATGAGCACTGCAACCCTAGGGTCGGACTCGACTGGCTTTCGAGCAAGGGAGACCTTTACCTTTACCTTTAAATGGCCAATCTGGCTTGGAACCCAGCTACAGCAGCAGGGGAGGTGGTGCAGGGCAACCGTACATCAATTTTTACTTCTGTTGCCGGTGGCCAGCAGGCCTTTCGCTCAGCGTGCTCCTGACTGCTGTAACATCCCAA